ATTTCTTTATTTTTTCTTATCTTTAAAAAATTAAATGTATCTTTTTTGAATAAATTATAATACAATATATATCCTTTTTGAGTAATTTATTATATAATAATAAAAAAATTAAAAATATTAAATAAACAAAAATGTGTTTTATTAGTTTTAATTTTATAAATAGTTGCTTAATTGATTTTTGTTGATTATTAACTGATTTTAAGCTGATTTATGCTGAATTTTGACCAATTTTTAACATATATAACTGATTTTTTATTTATTTAAAATGCTAATTTTTTGGTAATGATCAGTAGAATTAGACTATATTTTGGCCAACTTTTGGTATTTTAAATATGATGAATTGTATTATTTTGCCTAGTAATATATCAAATAACTACCAATCGTTAATTTTGAATATTTATTTATATAGCATCTAAATTGGATAACATCAGTTATAACTAAAAATGCTGATTGTTTTGACAATGATCAGCAGAAATTAAACTATATTTTGGTCAATATTCGGCACTTTAAAAAAGTGATGAAATGTATTATTTCAACTAGTGTAAATAAGTTATTATCTAAAATATGTATAAGAAACTTTTTTAGCAGAAGACTTAAATTTTAAAATTTGATATTTTGGATGAAGAATAATTGAAAGCAATATTAATAGCTGTTTCTATTATTTTTAATGCAATTTTAATCTTGTTATTATATTATTACCAAATTTTCATTTTTGTGAGAAGATAATATTTGATTATCCAACCAAAACAATATGCAATTTCATGTAATCATACAATATCTTTTTGTAATCTATTTAATCTATCACATAATTGTAATGATAAATCCTTGTGATATTTGCCAAAATGTAATCCTAAAATTTCCAACTTTAATTATTTGTTATTGTAATAAATTAAAAAGTTATCTTATAGATCACATGATTTATACCTTGTCACAAAATCCATCCAATCAGCTAAAATTGGCAGATCCTCAAAATCTATCCAATCAACCAAAACTGGCAAATCTGTGAAAAATGCCAAATCTGCTATATATGTAATATATGTCAGATATACGATAAAAGATCAATTATTACATTTCTTATTTTTATTTATATTTTATTATTATTATTTTATTTTTTATAAATAGGGTATCTTTAGAACTTTAATAACATAAGAACTTTTAAGTAGAGAATTTACTTAGTTTTATCGTCAATAAGATAATTACTAAAATATTTGTATGCAACCAAATACATTTGTAATAATTCTTTTCTTTAATAAAAACTCTAAATTACTTAACCCATAAATTATATCTTAATATTTGAAATATATACATTAATCATATAACCTTTAGAAGCTCTTCATAAATTATATTACTAAGTCTTAAAGCTAACTCTTTTGTTAATCTTGCGTCAATACTAATTTTCAGTCGTTAGTATTGTAAGATAACAATTTGGTGCGGGTTGGGTGGATCATAAACCAATCCAATAAGTAATATAAAAAGAAAAAGAGTGGAGTTATGTTTTTAAGTTACACAAAGGTGATACAAAGCTCATCAGATAGTTCCCATCTTCGCCGATCTCATGAAAGCTTGTGTAACATTTTAGTCACACGAAGTCCATACGAGTCACATGATTTAATGTAAACCCTTATTAAATAGAAAATAATATAATACGAATTTAATACAAACGTTACGGATGACATTATCTTAACTTCGAATGATCAGAATTTTCTAATATTTGGACTATTGGATCGTCATATATCAAGCATCACAATGATATATATTTCATTCAAATTGGAGTACTGGATGCTGAGAAATTTGAAGAATTGTACATAGTTTTTTTTTTAGTTTTATTTTTATTTTTATTTTGAATTATTTATGAGTTACCACTGAGCTTAAAAATGAAAAGTGAGGGCTATAGGTTTTTCACAGATCCCATATAAAAATCTGGTAGGTTCTTGCTAAACCTGGTAAAAAGCATGGAAATTTTTAGCAAACGATTTAGATATTTCAGATGCCTGTAAGAGACAACAATTCCCTATGGATATCTGATGAAGAAATTATTTGAAAAATGATATTGGAATTTATTGGAAAAGACATATTTATTTATTTGAATAATAGAAATTGAAAAACGATATTATGATTTATTGGAAGAGACATATTTATTTATTTGGATAATAGGAATTGGATAACGAAATTGGAAATTGATTGAAAATATATATATTTGAGTAACAGAATAAGAATTTTATTGGAAAAAGATATAGAAATTTTTATTTTAATTTATTTTTATTTTTATTTTATTTTTATTTTATTTTTTATTTTATCACGTGAATTGATGACATTTGACAACCTATGACGAATTATAATTACGAAGAAAGATAAAATTTATTAATTAGCAAAAATGCGATGATATGCGGAAATTTTATTGAATATTTGAAAAATTATATAAAAAATTGAAGAAAAACAAAGAAGAATAAATAGACATGTGGAAGAAACTATATTAACAATAAAAGAGAAAACTAAAAATATTTTGCTACAAAAGAAAGGAAGGGAAGCGTAGACTTATAAACAGCCAAAGTGTATGATAAGCATAGTTCAAAATCAGCCGAAGCATATGGCATCCCCCTCGAGTAGAAATCAATAGTAACTAGTCATGAAAATGAACATTAAAAAGAAAATTTATACTTAATCCTCACGAGGATGATAAAATCTCACACGAAATCCATATTCTACACTTCAATCAAGAATTTGCTGTACGATAAATCTATATCTACCACGAACAGTTTCTAGAGTCATTTGTAATCTTTGAGTTTATATAGCTTGTGTTTGAGAATTTGTTTGGAGAAGATCTCTTTCTTGCTCTTAGAGGAAATCTTGATGTAGAGTATCATAAGCTTCTTAGAGATCTTAGAATCTATTTTCAGTTTGAGATAAAAATGTAGAAAATTCCATTAGTAAATCATGTGCTTGATTAAATTTTACAAAAAAAGTTCCTGTCTATTCTAAAGAAGTTGTTAATTATTCTCGTAAGGTTGAAGTTTCTTCATGACTCTCTTGATAACCTATATATGAAAATATATAGAAAAAGGAAAACATTAATCTATGCGCAACTTGATTAAGTGAAACTAGTCTTATGAACCCAGCCATTCCCAAAATGATAGTTGCAGTTCAGGGACAGTTCCAATACAATAATTGCAGTTTGGCATTTTACCAAATCCACCAGGTAGCTTACCTTCATTGCGTATTTGTTCTCTTCTCTCTCTGGCACATTCTCTTTGACGGTTCGACCAACCTCTTCTTTGTATTTGATGATGTGTATGAGTCATGTTTCTGGAAATAATATAGTGACTGGAAAGAAAAATGAGATAAATATCTACATTAATACAGTGCTTATAATAACTCCGTTCAATTTCTAGTCTTTTGTCCTCAGAAAGTATCAGATGTATAGCGTCCCCTCAATACTTTGATAAACTTGAAACATCACAGTAACTTTAAGTATTATTTGTTAAATCTTCAATGGATAAAATGTATTTTATCAAAGAGAAATCAAAAACTTATAAAAAGAAAATAACAATAATTTTGGTAATAGAAAAATTTCTTTATGAAAAAGAAGAAATTTAAAAAGAGGATTTTATACTTGAAAAATCAGCATGTGAAAATTTTAAACAATATGGAAAAATTTTCTCTTGCAGAAAAATAAACAAAAGGATATTGGTACTTATTGGTTAATGATGATCATCAAACAAGAAATTTGTAGAACATGACTAAATCTTATTTATGGATTAATAAACATGATGATCAAAATAGAATAAGTTGATTTGATTGGACAAAAGTGATGTAATAATCTTAGAATTTACTCAGATGCAATACTCAGACCTAATTTAGTATCTGCACATTCAAAGTACAAGGAAAAATGTTTACTTTGCATAATCTGTTTATCAAAAAGTTAATTTTAGATTTGTATTCAATGCCAAAGAATTATCCTTGTGATAAATTACTTGAAAATCAAATTTTAATGAACTTTCCTAATACAGAAAAAGATTAGTATATCAGATCAACATGATTAAGTCACATGATATAGAATAATATTATTTTTAATTGACGAAAGAAATCCACTTTAGCCACAGCCAATATCCTAAGTTAATAAAATATCTGCTCGAAAACTAAAAATTTATTGAACTAATTCATTGGAGTTTATTTTTAAAGAAGGGAGATATTGTAATAAATTAAAAAGTTATCTTATAGATCACATAATTTATAACTTATCACAAAATCCATCCAATCAGCTAAAATTGGCAGATCCTCAAAATCTATCCAATCAACCAAAACTGGCAGATCTGTGAAAAATGCCAAATCTGCTAGATCTGACATATATGTAATATATGTCAGATATACGATAAAAGATCAATTATTACATTTCTTATTTTTATTTATATTTTATTATTATTATTTTATTTCTTATAAATAGGGTAACTTTAGAACTTCAATAACATAGGAACCTTTAAGTAGAAAATTTACTTAGTTTTATCGTCAATAAGATAATTACTAAAACATTTGAATGCAACTAAATACATTTGTAATAATTTTTTTCTTTAATAAAATCCTAAATTACTTAACCCATAAATTATATCTTAATATTTGAAATATATACATTGATCATATAAACCTTCAGAAGCTCTCCATAAATTATATTACAAAGTCTTAAAGCTAAATCCTTTGTTAATCTTGCATCAATACTAATTTTCAGTCATTAGTATCGTAAGATAACAATATGTTAGATTATAAATACCTTTTTACCAAATATTTTAAGAAGCATATTATACAAGTAGAAATTATGCAACTTTCCTATTTTTTATGCCTTATCACTATTGATCTGATTAAAAAAAAACAGTTCTTGCCTTTGAGGAATATATGTTTTAGAAAAACAAACTGATACTAGATAGGATGATGAAGAGCTCATAGTTTCACTAGGATTTATAGAAGGTAGCTCTTATGCAGGATAAGAGAATTAATCAAACTAAATCATTATGCAGGATCAAGCTACAAGTTCAATTATATTTATTGATGACACTTCTGATGATAATAATGATGAAAGGATAGCAAAAGTATCAAATTATACTGCTACTAATATACAGGTCAACCTGAAAAAAGCCAGTGAGCAAGAAAATAATAAAATTCAAAACTGATCATCTCAATAATTATTGAGAGGATCCTCTTCAAGGAATACGTATTCACAGGATAGATTTCAAAGAATTATTGCAAGAACTATCTATATCTATCAGGAAGGAAATCAGTTAAAGCCAATATTAAAGAGAAAACAGGAAAAGATTCAGTTTCAAAAAGTTTAGCTCAGCTATATCAGAAGGTAATAAAAGTTAGATTACGAATCACAAAAGTGAATCAAGAAGAAATCACATGCTGGTATAATTATGCTAAAGGTTGTGAAAATATAGTTAAGGCAATTAGAAAAAGTGATAGTAAGTTGAATAAACAGCAGGCCTTAACTCAAATATACAATGAGGTTAAAGTGCATCTTCCAGATATTACAATAGTGAATTTGTGTAAGAAAATCCAGAAAACTAGGGTAATTTACAAGTTATTTGTGAATATTGGATTGGGAAAATTTAGCATGTTAAAATATATAGCGCAGATGCTCTTTTAAGACTAACTGACAATTAAATCAACAGTATTATAAGTAGCTTTTCTGAATAATCTTTATTGATTTTATGAATAATATTTATGCCTACATAACTACTGCATTTTGATGATAATGAGAAAAATTAGCATTTCTTATATATGTATTTTTAAGCATATATTAATTAAAATTTTATATCTGCCTATATTGGTCTTTATTTTTAATTGCATATTTTGCATATGATAGTGTGTGATATACATAATAATAATAAAAAAAAGTTACTATATATACTGATTTATTTAGTTATCACAATATATAATGGCAATATACATTACAGGAAATGTTTTATTCAAAATCTATATAAATTTAAATTTGATATTTCTAATAGTATAAGTTGATAAAGAATCATTTTAAATCAATAAACTGCTATAATTCATTAAAAATGACTATAAATCTATAAATAAATATAAATTTATTATATTTTTAATATATTTTAATTCAAGGAATTTAGATTAAGTTAAATATAATTTCAGCAATTAAGTAAAATAATTTTATCATTAATAAAAAACTAGTTTTATTATTTTGGTTTCGTTAATTTCATCATATTAAGAAAGATAATTTCGTCAGATATCACTAATTGAAAGAAAATTAGAACAAGATTTCATATAATATATTTTTTATTATATTTCTTAATTTTCAAAAGCCACTAAACATAATTCCTGTTATATATTTTTTATATAATTTATAAAGGGAAATTAGGATAAAAATTTTTTGTATGATTTATTATGGGAGAATTAGAATAAAAAATCTTTATTATATTTTCTAATCTTTAAAAGTTATTAAATATAATATTTAATATAAATTTTTTTATATGACTTATTATGAAGGAGTTGAAAAAAAAATTTTTGTATAACTTATTTACAAATTTTCATATGATTTATTTTTTTATGACTTATTATGAGAAGAATTAGAATAAAAAATTTTCATATGATTTATTTGGTATGACTTAAAGTAAAATTATGCTATTTAACAAACTAACCAACATAAAAACAATTTCTGATATATTATTTTTGTAAGATCTATTTATTATATATATATAATCAATAAATAAATTAATTAACTGGAGTTCTCAAAAGCTCTTCTAATATAGTATAAAAGTTAATATTGATTTTGAATATACTAAGAATACATAATGTCAGTGAAGGTAATAGAACTTCATCCTAGAACTCTCATAATAATATTTTGTGTAATATTATGAAGTATTACACTGTAAACTTTAAAATTTTAGTATTTTCATAAGTTTTACATAATATTATACTATAATATTATGAAGCATTATACTGTAATCTTATATATAGTTACTGTATATACCCATAATAATTATGTAATATTATATCGTAATATTACAGAATATTATGAAAAAATAAATTACATAATCTTATGATAGCTTTATAAGTTTTTGTAATATTACAGAATGTAAGTTTATATAATATTATGTTCTATTAAATTTACTGATTTATTATATATTCAATAAATTAAATTTTTAATATATCTTACGAATATCCAGATTTTATTATCTAGATTAATATTTAGAATTAATATCTGGATATTTAGATTCACAATTTTTGAATTAATATCTTTAATGAATATTAATGAATAATCCAGATCTAAACTCTAATCAAAAGATAATTTATAGTAAATAAGCAAGCAAATTTGCTTGCAAAATCCTATGTTTTAAGGAATAATAAAAAAATTATATTTTTTCTTAAGCAAAATACTTTAAGGTTTCAGATTCTTTTGAGATTCTTTTACATAGTAAGTTTTAAAGATATTTCAAAATAAAAAATAAAATAAAAAATTTTTTTTATTAAGTAAATTATCATAATTAAGAAAAATACTTTAACTATATAAATTCTATTCAAATTGATCGTAAATTACATGAAAGTTCTACTATAAGAGAAAGCATACTATATACTATAAGTCCTGTTTATAAATCAGATTGATTGAAAATTAAATCTTATATGATTGGTTATTAATGTGATCAGAAGGTCAACCAATATGAATAAAATTTTTGTTATTATTTTAACTGATCTTTTAACATTCAGAAAACAGAAATTGTTATGAGTCTAAAGTAAAATTTTTTGCCTATTTATTAAAATCTTGCTATTTAAAGTTGCAATTTAGGTTATATTAATCAAAAAAGTTCTTAATATATAATAAAAATATAATTTAATTTACCATACTTTTGTTTATCTGTTTATGTAACATAATGTATTTATTTTAATCAGAAAATATGATATCAATATGTTTCACTAAATTGATCTACTAAAGGAATTATATAAATAATTACACAGAATTGATCTATTGTATAATCTACAAATTAATTTACATATGTAATGTTGTAAATATTAGAAATGTTAGAAATGTTAGAATGTCAAGAATATCAACCATTTTTTATAGATTTGATATAATTTATATATTTAATTTATTTAATATAACTAATATAGTTAATTTGTTATTATATGTAAATTGTTTTATATAAATAGAATGGTTTGTAAAGATTAGAATATCAGGAAATTAGATTTTCTCTAGCCAAATGCTAATGTTCTTCTTATTTTTTCTTCTTCTTTTATTTCTTTACTCACTTTTTTATTATGTTATTATAAACTCTTATAAATCAGAATGTTATTTCAAGCTGGTTATATGCAATAATTCTCTAGAAATATCGTAACATATAAATCTTTCAGTCTGTATAATATTACAAACCTTCGTAAATACAAGACAATCAGGTCTTTATAACAAAAAATTCAACTCAGCTATATGCGATAATTCTCTTAAAAATATCTGAAATAACTGTGTGCTATTTTATTTTCGTGAAATTCTCTTTTCTTATTTTTTATTTTCTTTATTTCTTATTCTCTTTCTTATTATTTATCAAACTGTTTTTTATTTATCTTATACATCTGTATGATGTTTTACATCCTTATCTGAGTGACATTATATATTTGTATAATTTTATAAATCTGAGTAATATTATAAACCTTTGTAAGTTAGAGTGACATTTTAAGCCATTATGACAACTACAATTATTGTGAATCTTTATGATAACATAATCAGTCTTAGTGAAATAGTTTTAATATGTTTGAGTAATACCAGTTATAAGTTCAGGACTTAGGAATAAATCAGTTGATTACTACGTATATTAAAAAGAAACAACACTTGAATACTTCGTTTAATTGTAGTAATTAAAGATGAGGGACGAAACTCAAAAAAGGCAATTAATAAACAGCCAAAACTATATTAAAACATAGTGAGAAGTACGACTAAGGTTGCTTGTCTAAACTCATTTTGGATTTGACAAAACGGTAAAACCTTTAGTTTCGCTAAATTTTTACTAAG